TTCTGAGTTCAAAACCCACTCCCACAGACTGCCACTCTGGGTCCCTGAGCAAGACTGTCGGCCCCCACAATGCTCCCCGGGCAGCTCACAATGGCATCCCACTGCTCCCCAAAGGGATGGGTTAAACACAGAGAGTGAATTTCATTGCTCTGTACTTGTGACGATGTAATGACAATAAAAGCTGGGGAAAAAAAATAAAAAAAAAATTATTTCACTACTGAAAGACCAGTTCTCTGTCCGATGCCTTCTGTCCATCCTTGGCAGAGAAGACGTGGTATTTCTGCAGGTGCATATAGATTTTATAGAGGCCTAACCTGCTGCAGTCACATTCGAGTATAATGGTGATCTCTACAGTCATTAGTTTGTCAGCTCTGTTCTGCTGTAGCACAAAGATATCTGCCTCCATACAAGCAAGAACAGGTCCTATATAATCATGATTAGCAACACAGCATTTCTAAGGCAACATAAACATACAAATTTAGACTTTAATTTTATACATAACCCACTTATGTATAAAATATTACATATCTGTCTGTAAATCCCTGTAATATTACACATTAGCTTTATAGACGCTCAGTACTAATAAGTGTATTTGACAAGTAATCTGTATACAAATACAAAATACACTTACTCATGTTGCCTTAAGAAAATATGTTAACTGTGCTTAATTGGATTAGTAAACTTAGATGTTTTTAAACAAGAAAATTGTTCCAGACATGTAGCCCTGTCTTGAACCTAATGCTGCCTTTATGAGGTCTGGTAAAAATGGTCCTTACCACTTGTAAAGTGGAAATTACCAGCGTGTTGTGTTCAAATGCTTTTGTTGTGGTAGAGAAGAGAAACATGTTGGATCCAAAGATTATCCCGACATGCTACATGGGCAAGACAGTTAGACTGTGTCCGAATGTCCTCACTAATCACTATATAGGGCACTATAATGTGGTTTCGGCGTTTTAAATGAGAGTCTGAACGTCTAGTGGATGAAAAAGTAGTGGACTCGAAATTTCCCACAATGCACCTTGAAAACTCAGTACGTGTTCCAAAGTTTGAACGGTCAGTAAACTGACTTCACTATAAAGTCCGCCATATAGTTCCTGCTCTATATAGTGATTGAGGGATGTAGGGATTAGGGCGGACGTTCGGACGCAGCCTAGACTTGCTAGTTCATCTGCTACAGAAAGAAATGAATGCATCAAATGTATTGACTGACTACAAGCGAGCATCTGATACAATCAAACAATAACGGTCATTTCAAAACTAACACAAGTTTAATGGTGATATATTTTTTAAATACATATACCCCAGCATTGTGTATGTTACAAACACAACAGAAGGAAATGCTTAACGGTGCCGTATTCACCATGCAGAATTGTTCTGCTGCTCTCCACCATGTTGAAAGGTCAAAATCTACCTCAATTTGGCAACTCGGGTATCATAGAATTTTCCCAGTTTTCCAGTGGAAATTACAACATGAGTGGGCCTTCATGTGCAATTTACATGTTGGCTTTTGGTATTTACAATAATTACTATAGAACATGCAGGCTGTCAGGAATCCAGTTTGTGTGGTCTGTTTTTGTGTTTCCTTTCCTCCTCCACCAGGTGGTGCCCTGTCCTCATTGGGTCTCCCTGCACACCTGCAGCTCATTGCCTCATTACCTGTAGGGTGTTTTTAAGCTGCTGACTGCCACTGCCTCGAGGCCAGAGTGTTTGCCAATACTCTAGCCATGCTTAGTTTAGCAGAGTCTAACCTGAGTTTTTGTTTGCCAGTTTTGGATTCTCTAGCCAAGCTGAGTTTTTCTGAGTCTTAACTTTGTTTTTGTCTTTGCCTCTCGGCACTCCAAACAGGAAGTTTGGATCAACTTTCCCCAAGAGGTCGTTTGAGCTTCACACCAAGCAAAGGTTTCTTGTGCACTTCAGCCTGTTCAAGTACTGCAGGAAATCTGAGTGGCAGTAAGCTTCTCCATTCACCAAGTGACAAGTCTGTGTCACCCAGTCCACCCATCACCAAGCAAGACAATCTCTGGTACAATCCTCTCAGTCTGGATTCCATAAAGGACATCTTTCCCTGGAGAAGTGAGTCTGCAACCTTTTCCTCCAATTCTAAACCTAAGATTCAAATTTCCCACTGAGCCTGAACTAACCGCAGTGTCCTCCCCTCACCTTTCAGTCCCCGTTGAGCAGTGCTCAGAGTAGCACTGGATTCATCACATTATTCTTAAAATAAACCTGTTTAAACTTTCCCCTGGTCTCTCTGTTTGGTCTTCTGCATCTTGGGGTCAGACCTTAATAAAATCATGACAAAGGCACCGTTAAGGTAAATACATTTTTTTGACATATCACACTGTCAGCCACCCTAATGAACATATTTATGTTTATTTATTCCATGCTAAAATTAATATATAATATATTTTTTAAACTTTCTTAAACAAGCAAATTATTTGGTGCTTTATGGTTAGCTTAGCTACAGTTAGGGTTAGAAATCATAACGTTTTTCTTTATTTTTCTAAATATGAATCGTATTGTATCATTAATGTGCTGAAATAATCGGATAAACAAGTTTTTGCAAGCTTTGTCCATTTTCTAAGATGTTTCCCTAATGCTAATGTGCTAAATATCTAATGGAAATACTTGGAAATCATTTCCAATACGATTCAATTTCAACAAAATGACCAAAGCTGTCAACTAATGAAGTACAAATACTTCATTACTGGACTTAAGTACACTTTTTAGGTATCTATACTTTACTCCATTACTTATTTTTATTCCTACTTTTGACTTCTACTCATTACATTTTCACACAAGTATCTGTACTTTCTATTCCTTACATTTTTAAAACAAACGTTACTCGTTACTCTTGGCTTCAGTTTAATGGTTATAAATATTTATTTCACGTCATGTGCACCATCTAATGCAGATCATTGGCGCCATCCACATCTAGTGAAAACTAGTGTCATTGGATGAGTCATATAACGCAAACACTCATTGGTTAGCTAAAGGAAATCATCAGAAGCAAGCAGGAGTTCTTCAAACTGCAAACGGGAATCGTCTAAGCCATGCTACAATGTCGGATTCAGAAAAAGATGTTGAAATGTCTGAAAGGTTGGACACAGGCGAGAGCGTATCGGGAGATGGAGACCAACAAGACCTCCCCCATCCTTGGCCCTATTTCAAAGAATTTTTCATAATACTCGAAAAATTAAGCTTTCTATTCATATAGTGGCATCTGGCTGTTTTTTTTAAAGGTTACTTTATGCTTTTATACTTTAAGTAGTTTTTGGAGCACATACTTTTTCACTTTTACTTGAGTAAAGAGGTCAAGTTGATACTTCAACTTTTACCAGTGTTTTTAAACTGCAATATCTATACTTCTACATAAGTAACAAATGTGTGTACTTTTGACACCACTAAAAATTACCTATACTGATACTAATACTGTTACCTTAGCAAAATACTGTGGTTTGTAACTATTTTTTCCCCATCTTTTTATTTTATTTTACTATTACTAGATGGATAATATTCTACCAAGCAAGACCATGTAATCTTCTGGCCCTTGTGCCATAAAAACCTGAAGACCCTGCTGATTTAAGTGATGAGGATGATGAGGACTCGGTAGAGCATTCTGATTATCATCCCACACAAAAAGAAGCTACTGGTTCCTTTTGAATCCCTACTAGAAGGGCAGAAATGTGAAATGACACCCTCAAAACTGTGTCCTTATAAGACCTGAAAAGCACTTCAGAGCTATGGCGCCCCCTTGAGGCAAAATAGATGCACAAGAAAAATCTCTTTAATCATTTAGGAATTCCAGACTTGAGATTTAAATCCCCTTAGTATATGAATACACCCTTTCAGTACTCTAAAAGGCTTTTCACTGATAAGATGATTGGACATTTTGATATTCATACCAATTTATAATTTGAATTTATTTGAATTTATTCATACCTTCTACTCTGCCCAGGAGGCCTGAAGGGATTGAAGATTTCCTTGCAATACTACTTCCCAACACGGAAAGACTAGTTAATAAAAATATTTTATGGCTTAACACCAGAAACAAATTGGAACCAATACTCAAATGACTTTTTTGTTATTTGGTTCTTTATAAAGTAGCCTTGCACTGAATTTTCTTCTTAAGTTATTTACAAAAATCTAAATACTTTAACCATGGAGCAAAAATCTCAACAAGCCAGATGCCACAATCAGAGCTACTGGGCTCTTATAACACCTGAGCAGTGCAACAGACTGACTGACTCCAGGGCATGCAGCATTACTGCAATAATCCAGAAAAAAGGAGCCCCAGCAAAATGTTGATTTCTGAACATGATCAAAGTTTCCATGTGGCCAACATTTCTAGAAATATATGTAGATTTTTTTGTATTGGTTTCAAGTAATAAGTCTCTAAGACTAAGACTCTAGGTCTAAGTCTCTAATATTCAAATTTTCTGAGATACTGAGTTTTTTTAAAATTAGTTTTCAGTTCTAATCATCAATATAAAAACAATAAACACTGTCAATATTTCAGTCTGTGTGTAATGAATTAATATAATATACAGGTTTCACTTTTGCAATTGGATTACTGCAATAAATCCACTTTTTTTGTGATTAAATGAACACCAACTAATACATTATTGTGAATAATGTTGGTTTTAGATACAGGATAGGCAAAGTATAGTTCATCTAAGCTTATATATAAACAATGTAAGAGTATTTTAATAGACATGACATGTAAATTAGTACATTTGAATAGTCCTAAAATGACTTGTCTTTGTCAGACTACATTTTATAGTGCTTCACAGGAGCATTAGTATCAGCTTGTCAGAGAGGAATGGCCTCTACTATCTAGTTCAGCTCCAGCAGCACTCAGATGACCTTTGGTACAAGAACCCTGAACAGGGTTTGGGTTGAGCAAAGCTCAACGCTGAAGCAACAGGAAATTAAAACGGGACAACTACTCCAACAGTTCTGAAATCTGATCTGAGAAATAGAATATATGACTCAGGAGGGTTTATTAGGTTCATTCCTCCATGTAGTCGTGTAAAACATGTTTTCCTTCCTTCTATCTTTTTTGCCGACCTCCTACCTCCTACCAGGGTGGCTGATTCTGGACACAAATCCGCTGGTTGGTTTGCTGCAAGGTGAGCTCCTCATTCATTTATTTTCCAGAAATCAAGAACGCTTAACAGGCTGTAGCCAATCTGTGTGAAAGGCTGGAGTTTTCACATGGCGCCCCTTTGAAAGCTGCATGTATCCACATTTTTCTAAGTCTGGTCATTCATTTTGATAAGGGGCCAAAATTAGACTGTATTATTTGGGGGATTCCATGAAATTCCTGTTAAATACTATACATGTAGATAGATAGATAGATAGATAGATAGATAGATAGATAGATAGATAGATAGATAGATAGATAGATAGATTCCATCAACAGCTGCTGTAATCAGTGGGTTCTATTTATTGGATAGGATTGGTAAAATTATTATGGATATTATGGACTTTTTTTTAAATGTTAGTGTTAATGACCTCAAACTAACTGTTTGAGGTCATGACTCAGCATCTCAATCAAGTTTAAGTCCAGACTTTGACTAAGCCACTCTTTATTTAATTTATTTATTTTTTCCTACTTGCTTTGATTCTGTTTTATTTTCCTATATTTTAATCATGTAAAGCACTTTGCATTGTCTTTGTACTGAATTGTGCTATACAAATAAATTTGCCTTGCCTTGCCTTGCCTAAAAGTTTACTTTTTTCGAGGCTCATCAGATTAGAGACTGAATGTTAAAGACTGCTGAATGTTTTGTAAAATGGGTCGTTGTATTGTATTTTATTATATTTTATCGTTATATATATATAAAAAATAATAACATTTTTAGAACTGCAAATATACAGCCATATGTTTATATTACTGTCTTTATTTATTTATTTATTTTACTATTTTTCAAGACTGCACTTTTAAAAAAGATGAAATTGTCCAGAGAGCTTTTGCAAACGAAATTTCTTATTGTTTTACACTTGTGTAAACAAAATGACAAATAAAATCTGCCTGTCTGTCCATCAAAGATGAATGCACTGAGACATTTGTTGTTAAATTGTGCTGTATAGATAAGCTTCGCTGAATGATTTATTGGCCTGGTACATAAGAGTACAGAAGCCCCTCCTATTGGTACCATAATCATGTTATACTGTTAGTATGATGTTCTTAATCACAAACACTGTTAGTTTTATGCTAGATGTAACAAGAGCCACTCTAAAAGTTTCCTATTTTGTTTTAGCTTGCTGAGTATCGTCTTCAAAGTCTAAGGGAATCACTGAGACGTCTTATTTGCGTCTGTTCTACGACTCCCATCTCTTCTGCCTATGTGGAGAATAGGAAATATAATGCCTCTATATGTTTTTTTTTTACTTATAGATGTTTATGCATTGGTTCCTCATCTGCTTTTGAATTATCCAGACCAAGGATGATGTATTATTATTTTTTGTTTGAGCCTACTTCAGGCTGGTATACAGGCAAGTACAACAGAGTAGCTGTTGGATTAAAAAAAAAAAAGAAGTGGGTTGTGACATGAAGATGAAACAGAAAACTGTAGGCCAGATCCATGCATGTTTTGATTTGAGCCCAAAAATATGAACCTGCATCTAGAAGCTTATATGTGATCTAAAGCGGTTGTTGGTTGACTTGCAGGGCTGGTGGGGGCATGTGGGATCTCTGTGCTGTGTTCCCTGTTGAGAGTGCATCTACATATAGAAGAGAGGTGAGGAAAAATCAGATATATATGTTGGATTCTGTCATAATTAAGCCTTCTTATGTCTTTATTGTGGTTTATATTTATATTTTCTACAAATAATCTGTCTCTTATTTAATCTTTTCTATAATTTGCAGCTGGAATGCCAAAAATAATGATGACACATCAGGTATGGGGTCAGGCAGCACCCCGGTGAGGGCTAAACATGGATTTATTGGAATGCTCCAATTTGTCTTTGTGACTGGGATACTGGCCGTAGTGGGGTCCCGTGTGGCGTCTCTGGTGGTTCTGGAGTTTTGCCTGCGAGCTGTCTCTGGAATGCTTACAGCTGGGCCGGTAAGGTAACAGTGGTAAAATTCAAACAAGTTGTGTCTGTCAGACTTGGCAAGTGTTTGGGCCTTTATTTGAATCCCAAATAGATGCAGCACTTTCTCAGCTTTGCCTGGCCTGGTGAGCGGTCCAAACCCTATTACTGAGCTGTAAACACTTGTTCACTCTGAGCCTTATTTTATACATGCTTCCTTGCAAAGCAAACCAGGTTTGAGTTTTAGTTGATGACGTTGTGCTTCAAGGTTTAGTCAAGAGGCTGACTGCAGCTATGCGCTATATTTTTATCTCATTTTTGTAATTTTGTTGTCTTTTAAAGGAAAACATTCCTCTCTGATTACAGTAGTTTTCCTTTTTAGGAACCTTAGATGTTTATTTTGACAGACTAATACAAAGACATTATAATGATCAGACCTACATATAGGATTGGCCTGAACTGGGAAAAAAAATCAAAATATAGATAAGTAATTTTTTCTTAAAATAAATGTATTTGTTCTTGAATTGAGAAGGTTAAAGAGACATTTTTCCAATGGAACAAGACAATTTACATAAAAAATAAGAAAAGACAATTGCTTTGTCTTATTTTAGGTGCATTTTATCTAAATATCTTATTTTAAGAGTAAAAATACTCATTCCATTGGCAAATCATCTACGGTAATTTACGTACTCAAATTAAGGGTAAACACACTTAATTTAAGAAATGTTTGCTTATTTCTAGATGTTTATCCAGTGTGTATTTATGTCTGATCATTATTATTTCATATTCTCTACTGAATGATGCTGCCACCACTATGCTTCATGATAGGTTCAGGGTAATAAATGCTTAGTGTTCGCTTCACATAGCTTGGTTCTTGTCAGATAAAGACAAGAGTATGTATGTATGTATGTATATATATATATATATATATATATATATATATTTTTTTTTTTTTTTGTAATTCAGACTCTATCTGTCTTAAGACAAGTTTCTTATTACCACTCTTTTGTAAAAGGCCAGATTTTAAGTTGTATGTTATTTGTTGTTGATTAAATCTATTTGAGCTGTGTATTTCTGAAACACCTCCAGAGTTACTCTCGGCCTCTTTTGTGCTTTTCTAAGGAAATACTCTACCTGCCTGGCTGGTCATCTTAGTCAGATAGTTATTTCTTGTTGGGTTTGTTGGGTTTAATTATGATATATGACACATTTAGACCCTAATTGTGCTTTAAACCTTATCCCACACCAGTCTGATCTCTTTCTAATGAAGGTTTGTGTTTAGTAATGCTCTCTAACCCATTGCAGAGGTCTCCATGCAGTATCTGTACTTATTTTTAGATTAAATTACACACTTTTGAGTTGCATTTACTTATATGGTGACTTTTGAGGGTCAATGGTTGAACTGCATTTTATTTATCAGCAAAACTGTGAAGGGGTTGGATTCCATATACAAGCTTCCTTTATAGTTTTATTTAGACAAGAAAAATTTAAAAAGGAAACAACACACTTTTATCTTGCACTACATGTATGTATGAGCTTGTGTTGTTCTGTAAAGTAAAATCCTGATTAAACTCAATTGAAGTTTGAGGTGGTGTCATATAACTGTAGAAGATCTTTTAACATAACTGAATTAATCTGTTACTTTATGTTACTGATTCCACATGAGATGGACTGTTTCTGTACCATGGTTCTCAGAACATACCGTCCTCTTAGAATTGTCCTATTTGAACTATAGTTTAAAGCTGCATGTCTACTTAACAGGACTGAGCATAGATAAAGCTAAAGCTGAGAATAAATCTGTTTATTATCATTAATGAGTTTCTGCAATATCCAGAGATTACACATTGAAAAAGATTTTGTGTGCACAGGAGAATTAAAGATGGCGACCATGTTTTTTTATAGAATTAATATTGTATGTATGCGTATTTATGAGACAGAAAGAAAAGGTTTATCAACCAATTTTAAAACCACACCCAACAGCCTCATTGTTTAAGGGTATAGTGGAGGATTTTCTTTTTCCAGGTGGATCATCAAAAGAAGTGGTCATTCTAATTGTTCTAGTGGTATGTTTATGTAAGGCCGTTCTAAGTTCTCGTCCTCATTTTCACTTACCGGTGGTGAGACTGACATTTTGAAAAATTGCAAATCTTCTTTTGGAAAGTAAGCTTGTACAGTATGTGAGATGCAAACTTTTAAACAGAGCGTGCAGAAGGAGAAATGGGCTTGTGCACACTCTCGCACGCATCTAATAGATGTTCCCTCTCGGGAGCGGGTACAGGGTTGTGCATGTGCATTTTGCTTTTTAAGTGGAGAGTGCTGGTCTTTTCAAAAATTGATGGAAATCCTCCACTATATCTTTAATATATGTTTAGTATATCACAGTGGGGTCTTTGATGAGTTGATTTCTATATTTCAATATGTCACAATGACTTATTAAATGTAATAAATCTGCCAATTTGTCATGATTGATCATATTTTTACTCTCCCTCCTAGGACAGCAGGAAGTTTCTCCAGCAGTTGTTAGTTCAAAGCCAGTTCTCCCTGGGCTGTGCCATCAGCTGCAGTTTACACTATCTCCATGAGGGGGCATCCCAGCGCTGGCTATGTCTTCTCCTGGCAGCAGCCCTCAGCTGGTATCTGGCAAAGAAGGCAGCAGCCCTTCTGCATCATGTCATTGCTCTGTATAAGCTCCACAGCTCCCAGCGCTATTGCGGCATTTGCATCGGCCTGCTCACCTCAGGCCGCTACCTGCTGCCCATGCTTTGCAGGACTATGATCATTGCCTTCCTCGTGGCCGTGCTGGCAGCTGTATCAGTCATCAACCAGCAGTTTCTCTCTGCAACCGAGGCCTTGAGGTTTTGGACACCGCTGACCATCTGCTATACATTGTTGGTGGTTCACACACAGGGTGAGGGTCATGTCAAAGCATTCAAACCCAGCATCTGTGGCTACTCAATGAGGCTTCTGCCTTCTTTAAGATAGCATAGACATCATTGAACATAAGAATAACACCAATCAGCTCTTCATTATTAGATAATTTTTTAATATTTAAGCAGCGGGATAAACCTAACCATCATTTTTTATTTTCCTCTGTTTAAATCTTAATCCTACAGAACAGCAGCACAATCTGCCGAGCAGCCAAGCTGTCCTCAATGCAGTAGTTGTGCGTCTCGGGGGTTTGATGGTCCTGATGCTGACTGTGGGACGCTGGGCGGATGTGTTCCACATCCTAATTTGTTTCCTCGGTGAGGCCAGCTGTCTCCTCCCAAACATGGATCTTCTGGATGTGGCGTCCTCACAGGTCGGTCGGTTTCTCCAGAGACCAGTAAAGTGGGGCAGGATAGCAATGTGTTTATTAAACTTCGTCCCAGGGCGAAAAAGGAACTTCTTCCACTTTTATCCCAGGAGGAGGAAAGCTTTAGGAGCACCACGACAGATTTGGGTCAGGGTAATCTATAACTCCTGGAAAAACAAGCCCATTTATTCTTTGCAGATCTTTTCCTACTGTATCTAAAACTGGGTTTTTAAAGCAAATGCAGTTAAAACAGAGCAGGTGAAACAAAACTAAATGATTAATATGCTAATTTAGGAAAACAAAGGACTTTATTGGAACAATAATATAATTTGATTTGAGCTACTAATTCAGGTCAAACATCAATCGTGATTTGTAATAATGATATTCAAATATCTAACATCTTCATTTTTTAATCCAGGTGGTCTAACAACTAGAAGCTGCCAGATACTTAAATATAGTTAGCAACCACTTATCAAACCCGAAATCTGGGTGTAATAATGGACTCAGACCTGAACCTTCAAAGACACATAAAGGCAAAGCTGACTTTTAATCATCAAGATTAAAAGACTAATGTCACAAAAGGATCTTTAAAAACTTATTCAAGTATTTGTCTTTAGCTAAATTCTTTACTTCAACACTGTCCTCACTGGTCTGCCTAAAAACCAGTCAGATGACTGGAGTTGCTGCCTGCGTCCTCACTACAACTAAGGACGTAAAGCACATCGACCCAGTTCTAAAGTCCTTGCTGTATCTCAGAAGTTTAAAGTACTTATTTTAGTTTATGAATCACTGTATGTCTTAAAAATAAAATACATGACAGACTTGTTTTCAGGGAATAAACTGTCCAGACCTCTGATGTCTTTTGGTTCAAGTCTACCCTGCATACCCAGAGGCACACTTTGGTTTTTATGCTTCACTTATCTAAATCAAACACACAAATAACTGCAATAATAATGAAATAGAAAAAGTTAGTTATTTTAAATCAGGGTTAAAAATCAATTTGGTTAAATTTTTTCGTTGAATTTTCTATTTAAAGTGATAATTGAATCATTGTTCATTTTAGTCTGCAGACCAACTCTAACGCTAATATAAGACACATTAAAAAAAAAGATTTTTCTTTACTATCTACGTCTTTAAAAGAATTCTGAATTGTTTTGTTGCTGGAATCTGCAACAGCAATAACCGGCAAGCCTTGCCAGGCCCGGTCGATGCTGGAATCCGGTTTTCACTAATGTAAAGTAACATCTTTGTGAATATAGTGACCCATGGTGCTTATAGCCGGTGCAATTTAAGTCACGTTATCTGTTAGTAGTCAGATTTTTATGGCTTAATTGTAAATATTCTATATCTGTAATTATTTATGCGCTCTTTCCACACAGGAGGAAGATTTTACAAACTACACAAGGAGACGTCGTGGACAAACATCACAGTCACATGAGAAGCAGCGTTAAAGACAGCATGGACTGTTCTATGGATGTGATAATGAGCAAGATCAGATTACTGGACAGTTTTTAGACTGGCGTTGATGAATCTTTTTATAAAGTTGTTCTCATATTATTTAATACCTTAGCTCTCTATACAATTAGTAATAAATCACTACTCTAAACAAACTGCACTATATATTTTTTATTTTTAAAGACAGGATTTTGAGGAATTTATTCACTTCTAAGTAAAACTGTAGGCTACTTTCATTTGTGGTTGACTGAACAAAACAACATTTTCTTGTTAATTTTTCTCTTATTTTTTATGTTTTTTACCTATGTGCTTCTATGAATGCTTCCTATTGCCTTAACTTATTGCTAGTAAACCTATAAATTCACTTGTAATTACAACTGTAAGCTACTTTCATTTGAGGTTGACTGCAAAACAAAATAAAAACAAAACCCTCAGACCTCTGGGTAAAGAGCTGTAGATTTAGACAAAAGAGGCTTGCATTTATTTTTAGTCTTGTTAAGTTTTTTTTATTGCTTAAATTAAAGTACCTAGATACCAATATCATATTGTTACTATCTTATATTTAAATGAAATAAAAATAACTTTTTTCTTTTTTTTCTTGTTCATTTTTCTCTTATTTTGGATGTTTTTTTTTTTTTAAATATATATACCTTTGTGCTTATAGAAATGCTCCCTATTGCTTGCTTTTACTTACTGTTAGTATACCTAAATTAAAATTGCATAAAGGATAGTTTTATTCTAGTAAAAAGTGGATTATCTCTTGAAATAACTTTAAAGCTGAACATTACAGTAATTTTATTAGTAAGTACATTTTATTGCTTAAATAAAAGTACCTAGATACCAATATCATATTGTTGCCATCTTACATTCAAATAAAATAAAAAATAAGATTTTTCTTTTTTGTTAATTTTCTCTTATTTTTGATGTGTTTTTTTTTTTACCTTTGTGCTTATATGAATGCTTCCAATACTTTTACTTACTGCTAGTACACCTACATAAAAATTGCATGAAGGATAGTTTTATTCTAGTAAAAAGCGGATTATCTCTTGAAATTAATTTGAAGCTGAACATTACAGTAATGCTTATTTTGAAACTGATTCCATGTAAAAGAGTTTAAACTCTGAGGAATAAATAAACTTATAGAACTGTATGCTACTCTTATTTGAAGTTGACTGAGCAAAACAAAATAAAAAAAACAAAAGATAAAAAGTTAAGTTGTGACAAGAGGCTTGTATTTATTTTTAGTGTTACTGACATTAAAGTTTTTTTTTCATTGCTTAAATTAAAGAACCTAGATACCAATATATTGTTGCAATCTTATATTTAAATAAAATAAAAAAATCTTTCTTTTTCTTGTTCATTTTTCTTTTTTTTGTTTTTTTAAACCTTTCTTCTTTTATGAATGCTTCCTATTACTTTTTCTTACTGCTAGTACACCTACATTAGAGGTAGTTTTTTTCTAGTAAAAAGTGGCTTTTCTTTTTAACTGTTATGTATTCTAAATGAAATAACTTTAAAGCTGAACGTTACAGTAGAGTTTAAACTCCCCTGAATCATGACAAGCTGTTTTATTAACTGATTATAAGGTAATCCGAGCTCAAGCGTCTGTTACAAAGTAGGCAGCTAGTGACGCTATTTAAATTCTCCATATAACTGATATTTATTTTGTGTTTGTTAACAGACTGTAAGGTTACGTGAACATTTCATTGTTTTGCTGCTTCCTTCACGTTATTTTAATGAAAAAAGCAAAATGGCTGACCAAACCAACAGTGATGTTAGGCTCACAAAATGGCGTGGAACAAAGAGCTAGGCCCCTAGTGGCTTTTCACTTTTTTTTTATGTGTGAAATTTAATTTCATCGAAGTGTGGAATCGGCGATTTGTTAAGCCAATTTCACCAAATGCTGCTTTAACGTCCGACTGAGATTAAGATGTCGTATTTCAAAACTAGTCGTCTTTTCGTGGTTTATGTTCTGACACCCACATCGAGTGAAATCCACATTTTGACGTCGGTGTGAAGACGTGTCTTTATTAGGAGCTGAGGGCAGACAGACATATTCCAACAGAAGCTTTCTGACATGTCATTCCACTTCCTTCTCCGAAAAATGTCTATGGGGAACAATGTGAGCCTGACGGTCCAGTGTCCAAAGTAATCCAACTCTGAAAACCACAGATGACGACATTTGCTTTTTGGTGTTTGGTCGATCCACCAAAATAGTAAATTTGTACTCCCATGGGTTTAATGGATTTATAACGGTATAAAGTTCCACATCAGGAGGTATTTGAGAAAGACGGTGTCCGGACGCAGCCGACTGCGGCGAAGGTTGCTGGAATGACTGCGCGGCTTCTGGCGCCTCCTCCGCAGAGTTCCAGACTGTTCTGGAGGCCTCTGATAGGCAAGCAGGGCGCATGCGCACAATGCGTCCAGATGCTTAATATAGTAACAAAAGCAGAAAGATGTGGTGCCATGGAGACAGGGCTTTTTCAAAACACCTCTGCATTAAAATGTTTTATACTGCTCTGGACTGAGCTCTTAGCATAATGCACTGATGAGACGGTGATGTGGTTTATTAGAGAAAAAAATGCGTTGGAAATATACTTAAAAAAATGATTTGTCTATGCAGGAAAATTCATGTTTTGTTCAGGTATCTGACCTCTGCTACTTTAAACCTTTGAACATAGATATTGTTTTGTTGCTCAATAGCTTTAAACAGCTCAGTCACGGTCAAAGTGCTTTAATAACACCCTTCAAGTTTTATGTCTTGCATGCCATCTTGTATTGTGTAACAAAAAATAAAACATTTAAAGGTATTTGACTTGAACATATGCATTGATCTACTCTTAAAATTAATCTGTTACATTTTATTGTATTTTCTAACATGCACAAAAATCGACAAAACTACTATAGACTCTGATATAATTCTGTTGGTTCACAGACTGTTTTTTCCTGCAGATCACACTCCCCATTCCGAAAGGAAACTAGGCCACATCTGGAATGGTATAG